CTCCTCCTTCTTCGTCTCCCTCCCTCCTCCCCCCCTCCGGAAAGCCCACTCCCTCCCGCCCGGTTTCGGCTGGATCTGGCCGATCAGGTTTCCCCCCGGCCACGCAGTCACCATTAAGATAGCTGCTAGAGCAAAGTAGTGTAAAAGGATAGCTGCTTTCTGCCGTTCCCCCAACGTGACTCCTCGGGTTGCTGCATACTATATGGCACTGGCGGCCCGGCCGGCCCGGCCGCGCCACCTCATTGGCTATTTCGCATTCAGAGGGAGGAGGAGACACCGTTTCTATCCCTGTCGATCACCCGCCTCGCACTCCACCCCTTGCCTTTCCTTCTCCCCTGACCCCCAGGCACCTATACCTGAAGGGAAACACCGACATTCTTTTTAGACCGTGCTCCTGGGCGGGAAATTACCTAATGTGGCCTGAAAACTGGACAAGAGACTCTTTCAAAGAGAGTCCTTAGGATTCCAGCGGGAGGATTAATTGTGTGGCCTTAAGGTCCGGACGCCAAACTCTTAACAAAGAGACCACCGTCAAGCATCCAGGTGACAAAATTTCAAAGGAGACAATTCAGAAGCTTCTCTATGTCCCTAGTCCCCTTTCCCTCCCTTTGAGAGGTGTCTTTGTCAAGGATTTTGTATTCAAAAGGGTCCAAAATAGAATGTCACTAGGGAATGTTCCCAGGGGGAAACATTTATGGTAAATTAAAAAGGGGAAAGTGCTTGAAAATCTTAAAATAAGCTGTATAAATAGCCCACGGAGGAGACAAAAACAAGAAGACTTCAAAAAGCATTTAACCTTGACTCACCTGGAGAGCTGGCAACACAACTGTGTTGAACACGGTGCAACTAAGCATATAGAGTATTGAATCGGTGTGCTTAGCTCAGTGAGTAGGGTAAGGTGGAAGAGACTTAAGCCTTAGATTGTTATAAAGCATGAACATTTAAGTATTCTGTATGAACAGATTTTCTGTAAGTGTGTGTATAGTTCTCTGAAGGTGATACTCCTCCATTCTAAGTGCAGGTGTCTTCCAGATCAGTGCAGGATCAGCAGCCCTTTCAACAGCATAGACAGATGGAAGGCTGCCCTCTGGTTTGAGGTGAAATGCCTGGGGGTGGAGTCGACTGCTGTTTGCAGTTATGTCTCTTTCTTGGTTTGCATGAGGTCTTAACTCAAACAAGGATGAACCCACCTCTGCTTCTCTGATTTCTGTGGGTCAGTTAGGTCCACCTGCTGATGCCCTTTCTCAAAATCCAACACTTTAATGACATCATCCTAACATCATCCTTCACGGTGGCCTTGTGTTGTTTCTGCTTCCCAATTACCCAAAACTGCCTATTTCGGCATATTATAAAGCAGCTGTTTAGCTTACCTGCTGTCATGATCAACTCGGTGAGGTTTTCTTTTTCGTGGACAGGCTGCATTTTATTGCTGGTCAACCAAGATGTCATTTGATTTTGGACTTGACTTGCTTTTGTACTACCCTGATGGAGCCAGCACTGATGTCTCTGGTTGATTTGCAATTCATAGTCATAGAAAAGACCATGTGTTTTCACCCCATTGGAAATATCCAGTTAGGGATCCAGCTTTAGGACAATATCCGAGGTACATAACTTCCTTGAATTTTAAAAAAATATGCTTTTTGTTTTAGAATAATTTTGACTTACAGAAAACTCACAAAAGAGTATGGAGAGTTCCCACCTACTCTTTACCCGGTTTTCCCTAATGTTAACATTTGAGATTACAATGATATATTTCTCCAAACAAATTAACATTGGTGCAATATTATTAACTAAACTGTAGACTTTCTTTGGATTCACCAATTTTTCCATTGATGTCTGTCTTCTATTTCATAATCCAATCCAGAATACCACATGGCATTTTGCTCCTTGAATTGTTAAAGCATATTTATCGGAGCAAAGTAGACAGGATATAGTATGGTTTAGTGGAAAAAATGTGGACTTGGGGATCAGCTAGCTAGACATAGGTTTAATCCCAGTTCTGCCATTTATTAGCGACTTGAGTATAAAAAGTGCCTGGGATTGTTGTGAGGATTAAATGAGATAAGATGTGCCGTAAAGCAACTGGCATGTAATTAATCTCTGCTAAATGTTTGTTATCTTCTTCCTGATAGTGCAAAGTAGTAAACTTTTCAGTTTTATGTATCTAATGAAAATTCATTTGACTATATTATAGGGCGATCCAAGGTCAGGCCATAGGAATCTTCTTCAGGCTTATTATCAACTAAATATAGTTCATTTATTTGGAAAACTATGTATTGGGTTTTTGCATGTCTTCTGAGTGTGTCGTTTGCTTCCAGAGCACCAAGTGCAATAGATTATGTAGAAGCAGCAGTGGCCTTTATGAATTTGCAGCCTATAGCTACATTGGTATTCTATAGCTCCAGGAGGAGATTCCTGTAGAACCAGAAGTGAAATGCAACACCGGGCTCTGGATTCCTTTAGCAGGCTAAGCCCCAGGCTCATTCTGGCAGCAATTCAAAGTGGGACCGGAAGTCCTGGACTCAAACTTTGGAATGGAACACCAGACTTCAGGGTGTATGGAGTTCATCTCAGAGCACTGGTTTCAAATGATTTGTAAAATTGATGAATACTTCTACTTCCTTTGTCTGCCATGCTGTAAACACTGAGTCTGCAGTACTGATGTGCAGCCTAAAGCAGTGTTGTGATTTGGGAAAACAATTGAGGCTGGGCTTGTGTGAAGGTGAAAACCAACCTGCTTGTTTCCGTATCTTTGCCTTCCTGCCTGAAGGTAGTGATGAGAGCATATGGAAATCTTTTGCCATTTTAGTCTATTGAAGAAAATCTGGCTCAGCCCAAAATTTTACACTTTGCTTAAATATATTTTATGGTGTTGCCACCAAGAGCAGAGATGTTCTTTTTCAAGGCTGACTTTGGCCGCCTTAATAGGCGGATAGATAAAGGGAAGGCCTACATAACTGTGTTTTGGTAGGTTCTTCCTATTTCCAAAGCTTATGTACTGGTACTGTTGAGGAACTAGGTTGCAAAGTAATCTCCCAGGTACCGGAAGTGTTCTATTGTTATTTAGTCATCAATGGTTGATGATATGTAGTTAACATTTCTGAAGGATCATTCCTTTGCCAAATATTTACGGAGTCCTGATTAATAACAGGTATTGCATTAGGTACTGAAGGATAGCAAGATGAACATATTGAGGTCTCTGACCCTGAGGAGCTTAAAATATGGTGGGAGAGATAAGACACATCCATTAGGAAATACAACATAGAGTATGAGAGTGGTGAGGATAAAGAGACTAATTTTGGGAGGCCAAGGGCAATGGGGAATGGATTTTTAGCTGGGCCTTAAGGACAAGAATTTTGAGAGGACAAGGATAGAGCTCACTAGAGGAAGATTGAATGAAATGAGTAAAGCATGGAGCCATGAAGGTATGTGGTATATTTCTGAATATATTGAGTAATTCAGCATGTCTGTGTTGTGGGGTTTATTAATTGTGTGGTGGGAGATTAGCTTAAAGGGCAGGTTGGAGACAGATTATGAAGGTCTTTGAATGGAACGCTCAGTTTGCAGTGGTGCTCACGGTGGTTTGTGTACACAGTAGTCCGTGTGTAATATCATGGTCATGGTTGATTAGCCCAGGGATGGACACTTTCCCCAAACCAAAACATTCAGAATCCTCTTCTGGGGTTTTTCAAATTTTCATGAAGAAAAAAAGTTAAGGCTGGGAGAGGGAGCCTTGGATATAATGCTTGGGACTTAGTAACCAAGCTATCTGCCTGTGGAGGATGCAGATGAGCAGTAGGGAGGAGGGGACCTAGTGAGTCTCATGGGTGGTAGTGGAGGGAGAAGAGCCTGGCAGAAACAGGCAGAGAGCCTGGCAGAGTGAGTGCCAGGTTCTAGTCATCTCCCAGGTGTAGCAGCATTCTTGTCGTTTTTGTGGTGATATGGATTTCCCCGAGGAGCCAGAAAGGCCGCTTGGACTGGACTCAGCAAAAGGATGAATTTATTGGAACATAATATCAAACAACGTGAAAAACAGGAACGCAACTGGTTGTGCTTAGAGACCTGCTGTCTCATTTCACCTGCCTCTTTCAAGTTAGTCTTTCCAAGGGGCTTTCCCCAGAAAGTTGGAACCAGGGCTCCCCATAGTTCTTAATTCACCCTTTCTAGCCCCGTTAAAGAGGTTCTACTGTTTTCCCTTTACTGCCAGTTTGAAAAATATAAGGAGGATCTCTGGTTGTGCCAGTAAGGGTTATGTGTCAACCCCTAGGCCAGAGAGTCCGGATTGTGATTAGCAGGCACATTAAGAACCACTGAAGCCTGTGGGGGATGAGTTGTTTTCCATAAGAAGGGGGAGGGATGCTATCTTTAGTCTTGAGACAAAACCATAAATGTCCCCTAAGGATGGGGAAAGCCCAGCCTGGGTCCTTGGGGCTGGGAGAGAGGGTCTGCAAGAGAGAAACACTGCCCCAAGGAGGTAGAATCTACTGAGATGGGAATGCTAGAGGAAGAGCAGATTTGGGAAGAGAAATAATGGGCCAGTTGGTCCACTGTTGGGATGCTGCTGTTTTTTTTAAAAATATTTGTTTATTGGGGCGCCTGGGTGGGCGCCAGTGGCGTCCGACTTCAGCTGATCCTGATCACTTGCGGTCGCGTTTGAACTGACGTCAGGCTTCCTGGGCTGATGGCTCAGAGCCTGGGCATATTTCAATTCTCTGTCTCCCTCTCTCTCTGACCCTCCCCCGTTCATGCTCTGTCTCTCCCTGTCCCAAAAATAAATAAACGTTGAAAAAAAAATTTTTTTTAAATATTTGTTTATTTTTTGGGTGAGTGCAAGCGGCAGGGGGTGCAGAGAGAGGGGGACAGAAGATCTGATGTGGGCTCTGGGCTGACAGGCAGTGGCAGCCCCAACCCTGTGGGAACTCCTGAGCAGGAGATCATGACCTGAGCCAAAGCTGGGCATTCAACCAGCTGGGCTACCCAGGTGCCTCATGGGATGCTGCTGTTTTAAGACATGTAGGAAACCTGATGATTGTTGTGGGTTTTGAATTAGAGTTCCATTTGAACCAGGGGACAAAAGAATTGCTGTCAGGGGCTTTTCTTGCACTGCGTTTTGTCATTTTGAGACAGAAAGGAGCCAGGAACGGGGAGGGGCAGAGAGAGGGAGACACAGAATCGGAAGCAGGCTCCAGGCTCTGAGCCATCCCTATTGGGGAGCCCGGCAGCTCAGAACCCATGGACCTCGGACAAATGACACAGGCTGAAGTCAGGACGGCAACCAGCCTTCAAGCCACCCAGGCGCCCCCAGGCTTTCCTCTTGAAAGCCTTCTGATCATTCTATGTTTGTGGACCCCACGAGTAATAATGGTATACATTTTGGAGTTTCTATTATGTACGAGGCATTGTAGTAGTGCCTTCATACAAGTACCTGTCAGGTAATTTAATCATTACAGCAACCCTGTGAAGCGTAGTAAGTGGAAGAAAGTAACTGAGGTAAGTGAGGATAAGAAATTTGGCTCAAAAACCAGTCTGATTTAAGCAAAGGCCAGGTTCTTCCCATTTCATTGCTTCTTTTAGATACTACTACTGATGAGAATACCTATAGTACTGTTTAATAATGGCTAACAGTTATTGAGCTCTTATTCTGTGCTAAGTACTTTAAATGAGATATCTCATTTAATCTTTACGTTGCCCTCAATTTATGGTTGGAAAAACTGAGGCCTGAGGTCATGCAATTACAAAGTAATGAAGTCAGCACTTGAATCCAGCTCTCTTGAAGTCAGATGCCAAATCTGTAAGCTCTACTTTCTATTGCCTCTAGCTTTGTGAGAATCATGCTCATCTGATAAGAGTTCCAAGTCAGCTGTTGCTACCATTCTTCTCTTATAGTAGTTTCCAACCTGGGAAGTGGAGAAAGCTGGTAGCAATGTTTCCTTCCACAATCTTCAGTGCTTTCTTTGTCTTGATGTTAAGGTTTGGGCAAAAGGTAAAACAATTCACAAAGTGGTTGGGGGTCTCCTGTTCCAGGACATGATTAAAAGTGCCTTGTGGTAATAAACAACAATGCCAAATTAATGGATGACTTCTCAATGTATTATTGCCTAAAATTTTTATTTGCTCACTGAACATACTCACTCTTTCACTGTAAGTTTCCTGTTCTATTAAAATATATTAAGATCCTAAAAGTTGTCTTTATTTTTAGAGAGCTTCACTGTGAGTCACATGACTGGTTTGGATGTGGTCTTTTTCAATAAGACAATAGCAGCATAATAAGCCTCCAGGTCAGCACAGCATTTGTATTGCCTATTTTAGTAAACTTATTTGGTTAGCTCCTGTTAGTGAACAATGTTATGACCAAGCTGATGACATGATTTATTAGGTGAATCCCTATGTCTATGTACAAATATAAGCCCTGTGCTTATATATAAGCATATATATATATATATATATATATATATATATATATGTAGTGCTATATATAAGCCCTTTGGTCTGCTGGTTCCCAGATGTGATATCTAGCTGTTTGTCAGGTTCCTCCTCTTGTAACCCATGGAAATCCCAACTGTATTACCACACTGAGTTTCATACTGAGTTCACTGTTTAAAACAGTGGGAGTTGGGAGGTGGCTGGCTGGCTCGGTAGGGCACACAACTCTTAATCTTGGGGTCCTGAGTTTGAGCCCCATGTTGGGAGTGGAGCCTACTTAAAAAAAAGTGGGAGCTGGAATGTCACTTTTTATGTTTTTATTGAAAAGAGCAAAAGTGCTATTGAAAGTTAAACTTACCATGTGTGTACATAGCTAGTATTCATTGTATGGGTTAATTTGAAAAACTTTGCATGTCTACTTCTGATGGAATTTGGACCAGATTACAAGATGATGCTTGGCTTAAAATTTTTTTCACAGTGAACTAGTATTTGATGCTCGTTCATTTATTCTTCACTCTACTTATTCAATAAATATCAACATATCCTTGTTATGGCAATGAACATGTGTCCCTTACAGAGGGAGGAGTTTATCTAATAGATCTGTTTATAGGCTTTCTTTGCAATCCTGATAAATGCAGTGAATGTGGTTTACAACTGCCAAAGAGATTCAGGCTCTCAGATCTTACAATTGCTGAAATACAGTGTGTATGGTTGGGGTGTTGGGGGGGGGGAGTGTAAGAACCAGGTGACACCGGTTAAGCACACTTGACAGTCTTGAATTAAGTGACTCTGCAGAACAGATGCCAGAATTTAGTGAGAATCTGTAGTATTTAGGGTTGGTGTAGAGACTTTTGTTATAGGTAACTTTTTCAAACTTTTATTTGCGAACTTGTGCTTGCATGACTGCAAGTATAAAGGAGAATAGAAAGCACAGGCTTTCAAATTATTCAAAAGAAAATGCTAGTCTGAATTATTGATTATGTACACAGGGCATAAATCTTTGAAATCGTGGTAATGCTTTCCAGACAGTACAAGGTGAAATCTATGTGCCTAATTGTGACACAGTTCCTTAAAAAAATACTTCTACATGCATGGAGATGGAGCTTTGTGTACAATTTGACATTTTAATAGCTCTTCCCCGAAATCTAGGATAGTGCACTGGCCTACGGAAGCTAAGAGCAAGCCCCAGCTGCAGGACCGGAAAACTCGCGGCCGGAACGTTTGTGCTGCAGCGTCTCGCCCCGGGCCGGTGCGCATTTGCAACGGGACCGTCCCAGCCAAGTGCCTGTTGGTAGGAACCCGCTTGGAGGAGGTTTGGGGTTGCTCTGGCTGTAGCTAAAGCAGGCGTCGGGGGAGAATCCACAGGAGGGAACCGCCATGGACGATCAGGGCTGCCCCCGGTGTAAGACCACTAAATACCGGAACCCCTCCTTGAAGCTGATGGTGAATGTGTGCGGGCACACTCTGTGAGTCGGGAGACCGTGGGTTCCATGGGGGTGAAACTCGCAGGGTGGGAGGAGAGAGCTGGGAAATGCCTGGCCTGGGCTCAGGGGAGAAAAGGGCGTCGTTCGTTTCAACACTGGGGAGGAAAATGGGAAAAGGTGACGTTGTTTCTGTAAACAGACGGTAGCCCCGAGCCGCGCTGGCCTGCTTTGGACTGCAGGTTCCCAGATGTAGTACCCAGCAGGTTGTCAGGTTTGCCCATTCATAGCCGGGGTATTTCCAGGTTGTGTTGACAGCTGGGGTCCAGACATGCCGCTGGTTAAAAGCTTGGGGGATTGGAGTGTTTAATTTTACGGAAATGTTTTTATTGAAAAGGGCGAAATTGCTATGAAAACAAAATTACTGTGAATATATACTTCTATTTATTATGTAAGGTAATATGAAAACCGTCTATAAACCATTTTGTCCTGATGGAGTTGGGTTAGATTCTCATCACTAAAAGGGAGTAAGTCTAGATTCTTGGCGGTTTTGGAGATGTAATGGTGGCTGGTATTTATTGAGTGCACATTATGTGCCAGGCAGTGTTCTCAGCGCTTTACCATGAATTGTCTCACTTCATTCCCAAACAGCCCCATAAGGTAAGTATTAGTATCCTTACCATTTCACAGGGAAGGAGACTGAGACTGCTCAAGGTCCTTATTAAGTGGGCCCTACTAGAATTGGAACACAGGATGTCTGACTCCAGAACGCCCATTTTGGGGGAGGGGAGGAGAAAGAAGGAGGTTAAGTTTGTTTATTTTGAAGAATAAGTGCAGGAATTGGTCAGCATGTTTCTTGTCACATTTTTATAGTCACATGTGATTCAGTAAATGTGGTTCTATAAAGCACTTGGGATTGAAGGTGGTGTATTATGGTGAGCATATATTCCTGTAGTTTCTCTGAGGTTTCTTAGAAATAAAAGGTGATGGGTAATCTACGGTGTGATAGACTAGGTCTTTGGGTAAGCATAAATTGCATGGTCAGTTGTAGTTATAATGATTATAATAAGGTTTATTAATGTATTGGTACTTTTTTCTAATGTTTTTGTTATTCATTTATATTTGAGAGAGAGAGACAGATGGAGAGACAGTGTGCGAGTGGGGGCGGAGCAGAGAGAGAGACAGAGACAGAATCTGAAGCAGGCTTCAGGCTCTGAGCTGTTAGCACAGAGCCCCACATGGGGTTTGAACTCCCAAACTGTAAGATCATGACCTGAGCCAAAGTCAGACACTTAGCTAACTGAACCACCTAGGCGCCCTGAGATGACTTATTTTTAATTAGAAATTGCTTTTGTTGTATCCTTAGTCCTTTTTGTTTTCTCATAAGAGTTGAGAATTGTCTAAGTTATTGAGGTGCCTGGCTGGCTCAGTCAGAGTGTTACACTCTTGATCTTGGGGTTGTGAGCTTGAGCCCCGTGTTGGGTGTAGAGATTACTTAAAAAATAAAATCTTTAAAAAAGTAAGTTATTTTATTTATTTTGGTTATTTGCTAACTTGTTAGGTATAGACCACATTTTATAGTTCTTTTTTGACTTGAAATATGAACAAAATGGATAAAAGAATATAGCGTATTGGATAAAAGAAGAAACTTATGATTTTGAATTTTTTACACAGTCCCTACAGGAACTGTGGCTTTGGGCAAATTACTAACACCTTGCACTCATTTTTCTTTTTTGTGAGAGACAGAGAGCACGTGTGTGCTTGCACACACACTCATGCTAGTGGGGGAGGGGCAATGGGGAGAGAGAGAGAGAGAGAGAGAGAGAGAGAGAATCTTAAGAAGGCTCCATGCCCAGCTCAGAGCTGGAGTGGAGCCCGGCTGCAGGTTTTGATTCCAAGACTGGGAGATCATGACCTCAGTTGAATTCAAGAGTCTGTTGCTCAACCACCTGAGCCACCCAGGCACCCCTCATTTTTCTTACCTGAACAATAGAGACAGTAGCACTACCTATATTACAGTGTTTGAGGATTAAATATACAAAATATTTGGAGGTGTTTTGTAGAGTTTCTGTCTCTGTTGTCAAATATAGTATTTGTTTAATATATGTTGGTTATATTATCGTTATTACTTGTGAGTAGTATGTGTGCTAAGCAGAGATGAAATTAAAACAGGAGTCATTTGGGCTACTATGTAGGACTTGTACAATAATGATTATCTTTAAATGAATTTAAGAGACTATAAAATGTCAAAATAATAGCTTTAATTCTAATGATCTGTAATTTTCTTTTTTAAGATTTTATTTATTTTAACGTTTATTCGTTTTTTGAGAGAGAGAGCGAGAGAGAGACAGAATGCGAGTGGGGGAGGGGCAAAGAGAGAGGGAGACACAGAATCTGAAACAGGCTCCAGGCTCTGAGCTGTTTGCATAGAGCTCAACATGGGGGTTGAACTCCCGAACCAAGAGATCATGACCTGAGCTGAAGTCTGATGCTTAACCAACTGAACGACCCAGGCACCCCTTTAAGATTTTATTTTTAAGTAGTATCTGCGCCCAATGTGGGCTTGAACTCATGACCCCCAGGTCAAGAGTTGCATGCTCTACCAACTGAGCCAGCCAGGTGCCTCTGTAATTTTTTTTTTTAGAATCTAGGTAACACTACCAGCCAAGCTGACCCTAATTGACATTTATACACACACTGCACTGACAGCCACAGAACATCTTCTTTTTTTTTTGAGAGGGGTGGAGGGAGAGAACCCTCACAGTTGCAGGAGGAGGCAGAGAGAGAGGGAGAACGAATCCTAAGTAGGCTCCAGGCTCTGGAGCTGGCAGCAGCAAGCCCCGACATGGGCTGAACCATGAGTGAATTCAAGATTATGACCTGAGCTGAAGTCCACACCATCACACCATCGCCTGAGCCACCCAGGAACCCCTGCACCATTCCTGAAATAGACACTGATTACTCCACCAAAATAGAACTTTACTGGGACTCATAAGCAGCTCGTGAAATTCAAAGATTAAAATTATTATAGGTGCGGTGGCGCGTCGGTTAAGCTGTGCTTCAGTACTTCAGCCAGGTCACTGAGCCTCGATGGCGAGTTAAACCTCCTGTCGGGCTCTGGGCTGATGGCTCCAGAGCCTGGAGCCTGCTCCGATTCTGTGCTCCCTCTCTCCTGCCCTCCTGCTCATCATCTGGTCTCTGTCCCAAAAATAAATAGCTTGAAAAAAAAATTAAAAAATAAAATAAAATTATTAAGAGTATGTTCTCTTACCACAACAGAATAAAATAGCTACAATACTTACAAAGTCCCCTTTTTTCAAATTCTTTTTCTGAATGAGTGCCTTTTCCTATTTGCTCACTGCCCTGTGAGGCACTGTTTCCTAATTTGCATAAAAGCAATACTGGATAAGCCCAGAATAAAGTAAAACAAATACATTAACACCACTTATTAATCATTCTTTCCAGAAATATAATAAATAACTAAATTTCTCCATAAAGCTTCAAATGTAACTAATAATTTGAAAATATACAGGAACACATTAAACAATACCACAGACAAGCGCAATCAGAAAATTCAGGAGTAACTCTTCAGGAGTCAAACTGGTACCAGTATCACTCAGATGAAATAGAAAAAAAAGCAAAAGACGACAGAGAAAGATCTAAAGTAAGTGATAAATACTGACTTTCATATATCAGGACATGTTCTTTTATTCTACTCACTTTGTGTCTTATGCATGTTTAAAACGAAAAAGATAGATTTAGTAAAATCAAATACATAGAGCTTCACAAACAAGTTTTCAAGAAAGGTTGGGATTAAAATTATCATTAACAGAAGCGCTGTGGTTACTCAGTTGAGTGTCTGACCTTGGATTTTGGTAGGTCACGATCTCATGGTTTGTTGTCGAGCTTGCTCAGTCGCTCTACACTGACAGATAGGAGCCTGCTTGGAATTTCTGTCACTCCTCTCTGCCCCCACCCAAAATAAATAAATAGAGGGCACCTGGGTGGTCTAGTCAGTTGAGGTGTCGACCAGCCCAGCTCACTCACTCAGGTTTTGTGAATCAAACCCCACATCAGGAACTTTGTCTGCTGTCAGCATAGAGCCCGCTGAATCCTCAGATTCCCACTTTCTCTGCCCTCCCCCCCACCTCATTCTCTCTCTCTCTCTCTCTCTCTCTCTCTCTCCTCTCAAAAATAAGCATTTAAAAAAAATAAAATTTAAAAAATAATGCTTTAAAAAATAATTAGGTATAAAAACTTGGTTAATATAACTGAATCCATCAATTCAATACTGCACCCCATGAAAATTCTATGAATTCTAAAGACTGTTTCTTAAAGAAACAGTATCCTGAAAAGAAAGAAAATCAATTCTCCTTTTCTTTAATAAAACAAAGTTCACTGAACTGGAAAAACAACAAACATGGAATCAATCATCTTAATGTGCATAATCAATCCATTTTGGTGTTTGCTGGACTGATTGGTACAAAAGGGAATATGCTTCCTCAGGTTACAACAGTACCTTAAGAGAGGAAGATCTTTCATATGTTTTCACTTCTCTGCTTCGTATTTTTTTCCCATAAACAAGCAGTCCCAATTAATCTTAATTATGAATCCTTATACTCCATCTATATTATCACCTACTCCTACTCACTCTCTTGCTTCCTCAAATGCCTTTGCCAACTTGAGGAAGAACAGATAGTACCATAGAGTAGCTTGTCGCAGGTGTACAGTAATCCTACTGATAGTACTTCTCTTATCTTCTTCCATCATTAAAGGCTGCTCAGTACACTTAACAAATAAAACAGCACTACATATGTCAAGTCTGTTGGCCAATTAGATCCCATAGAAAGTTCTGGGCTTCTGGTCCCTCTCTCATCACAAACCTGGGAAAACCCACATGAGTGACCCAGGAGGGTCCCTGCTGGGAGAAATGAACCTCCTGCCAAGAGCCAATGTAACCCTGGAAAGATTCAGCTCGTGCGACACAGCCTGAGCAAACCTCTGAGAGAAGACTATGGATGTGACAGACCACTCAGCCTAAAAGT